GGATCATGTACTAGGGTTGTGGTTAAAGACGTGCATGATATTTCATCCCACCGCAAACCTCTACGTGCACCAGGCTACTACTAGTCCTTTCATCACGAGCCTATGCCTTACACTGACAGCCAACTAAGCTTTCCTCACACGGGTAGGGCTGCATGCACCTCGAGCCTCCTCCTTCTAGAAACAATCACTCCCGCACCACAAGACGTGGTTGAGTAAGCACATCGCTGGGCAGCCATAGGTTCATCGGACCGTGTTACTGCGTAGCTGTATAAGCTGCATCGTTCGATATTGCAACGACTAGTGTTATGCGGCTTATCCAGCTCGTCATGCATACCCTATTCAGCTCACTTGTCCTACTGTCGCGCTTCCACGTGACGCCTTTCCGGCCCGGGTAGCGATATCGGTAGTTCTTGAGAGATTTTGTCAGCGGGGATATTCTGGGGAGTCATACTCTCAAGAATAGTTGGTGTTTGTTGACACGAGGAGGTGTGACTCAGGTGTTTTGTACTACGTTGTGCGCGGGTTCTATAGGTGAGTATCCCAACGGTCGTTGAGGCTTTGCTAGTTGGTGGCTTGAATGAAGTGATTACGCAGCTGCTTCACCGAGTGAAACCCGGAATTGTTGCGCGTGAAGACAAGATGATTGTTAAATGTGCGGACTGGAAAGTGATCACTCATCTTCATTGAAGTAGATCAGGTGGATGGTAGCGTGGACATTGTGTTCGATGACACCTGCTCCTTCCTCAGATGGGTGCCTACCCAGACAGCCCGAGGTGGAATGTGAATACCTAGACTGAAGACTTCATTGATAGAAGAACTTCACAAACCGTAGGTAGAACACCGGCACGACCGAGTCTGAAGTTCCAGACTTCTCACGATGGTGGAGACAGTTCAGCTTTTCCAACGGCATGACGTAGGAAAACAAGCGTCTTTCCTTCCCGAAAAGCCACGTCTCGCGCTTATGCTCAGCTAGCAACTCACTGGTTTTATGGACCCTCGAGTCGATGGCACTAACATCTTTCTTCGCACTCGCTTGTAACCGCACTTGTCGAGTGCCGGTAGTCAAGGTCCGAGCCTCGGGTCATCGACTCCGATAGGCTGTCAAAGGACGAGAGCAAAAGGAAGTGCAAGTGGAAGCTCCATCGCTGTCACGATCACGATGCTAAAATTGGGCGCGAAGGATTTTGTTGATCAACATCATAGCTTCGACGTCCACGATGCAGCTTTGACATGCGCCAGGTTTGGCGAGCAGTAAGATCGAGGACGTCGCATGTTGGGTTCCGCAAGAGCCAACATTGATGCCCTGTAGAAGTGCTGGGGGTGGTGTAACTGCAGCAAGGCGCATGCAAACATCGGCGCGACTACACCTGGGCAACAACTACGACAACAACAACAACATACTTTACGGCTGTTTGATGCAGCCTTCGGCGAAACAATGGGCACAAACGCATGAACCCGGGCATGGGAATGCGAAAATGCCATGCATCACAACCACCATGCACGAGTCTATTGGCCTCGGCACCATTTTGCCGTCACCTGAGGTCCAGGCCTTTCGTTGTGCGAGGTTGGTTCCCGCGGCAGCATGTCGGAAAGCAGACATCGTCAAAGTTTAATCAAAAGAAAACGACATGACAGCACCGAAAAGAAGCCTCCCGCAGCCTCTCCGCGCCTACGAGTGGACTCCGTGGAGGACCCGCTTGCCTCGGAGCTGAAACGCACATGCGAGAAACGAAGCAGGACGTGGTGGGAAGTGCGACTGACGTCACAGTGCAGCGGCCACCAAAGGCGCGCTGCACCACCTGCCCGTCCAAGCGAGCCGATCCCCAGCACAACGCTCGATCGATACCGACTTCTAGGCCCTGCCTACTACTCCGTGCGCCGGTGGTCTGGATTCCTACAAAGAGTGGGCTCTTTAGCCTGCGTCCCCCAGCTACGGGACATCACGGACGTATTCTGTATAGAGGCTATAGGGAATAAGGAAATAGAGCGACGTTTTGTACGGAAATATGGACCCGTGATTGCCGTGAAAGGAGAGAAAGGGATCGGGCCTTGAAGCGTGAAGGCTCGTGGTTGTGGGTTTTGCGTGATGGGCGGATGGATGAGGGTGAGATCTAGACACGTCTGTGGGGCTAGGAGAAAGTCTTGTCTTACGTATTGTGGCAGGTGTGATGCCGACAGGGTGCTCTGCGCATGGAAAGAATCACGAGTGCATGAGGAGATGCAGGTGAGGTAATTTGGGTTTGATTGTTGTGGTGGTGGGAGTTTGTCAAGTCCTCCGAGGGAAACTCTGCCTAGCGCTCCGCCTCTTGCATGCCCTGCCAAACGCCTGCAGTGGTCCTCCAAAGAGATGAAAAATGAAAATGGTATATCATACAACTGAAAGAAAAGATCGCTCCGTGTAAATGCTAAACCGATGTGCTCCAATAAAGTTTCCCAAATCGCAAAGTCGAAGCTGAAGAGTGTTGCCTGCACACTGTGCCGCTAAGTCGCTGATGTTTGAATGATTCGTCGAATGTCATGAGGGTGAAGGCCTAGGGCCCGGCGGTTATTGCGCCCTTGTCGACGATGATTGAGAGTTGAGTTGTGACAGCGATGCGAATGAGTTGGTCATGGCTGAGTAGGCAGCTGATGGTAGACCGTTGGTGGATGATGTGGATGAGGCGCTGTTGCTGCGGACTTGGAGGTTGAGTGTGTGGCAGCTATCGCATCGTCCGTTCATGCGGTTGCAGCGACCCCGGCATCCCCGCTCGTAGTTGGCGCAAGAGAACATTGTGGATTCGTGTTGTTGAGGTTGGTTGGATGTTGGTTGTTGTCGTTGTTGAGTAGAGTGATAGAGTAGTTGTGGTGGTGTGGCTGTGTGCGACTTGCGACCGAGAGACTTTGCAGTGTGCTGGACTTGGACAATCCTGAAGCCGAGGGCAGACTTCGTAATATATGCGCCGGTGGGTTGTGAATGCCCGATGATGTAGCCAGCAAATGCAAGATATGCAGGGTAGTAATTGCGTATTCGGGCGTTAAAGTAGCCGTAATCGATGGGGTCCGTTGGCGTGTCTTGGTAGCGTGCGGATGGGTCCAATAATAGTGTGATGGAGTGCCGAATGGAGTTAATGTGAAGATGCCCAAGTTCTGCAGATGCACGATGCGTGGCTTATAGCTATGAAGCGCAGATTAGACAGATGGCTGACAGGTTTCAAGAACTTGGAAGAGATAGGTGGAAGATCAGCTGTGACGATGGAGGCCGCAACTTCTTATGACAGTTGACGCGTCCAGAAGATGTGTGTGTCATGGTAGATTATACAGTGGAGAGACCCGAGGCCAGAATGTCGGCGGTCAGTGCGCTCTTACTCAATGGCCAGGGTCTCCTCTTACGCATGCACGAGACCCTGCCCTGGTTGTCCATCGCCCAAGTTAGCGCCAAAACCTTGATTTTTCGCTCTCCCGTCCATTCCGGCACTTCGCAGTCGCCTGCATACATCATACGTACTCGGTGACGCTCAGCCACCACGGCGGTTGTTCAGGCGACCACCAGCAGGTTGTTGCACGAATTCGCATCCATGTGGACACACGACTAATCATTCAAACAGCCAAGTTGACTTTACAGGGACAGGCACAGTAGAACCTCGTTTCAAACAGATTCTGGAAAGCGGCTTAAAGTGGGCAACGAGTCCAAGACTTGCACGGCCACTTCATCCGTGCACTCGTCAGCACCAAGACCCAAGAAAGCCACTCCAGAGAATCCACACATGGCGTTAGCCTGTCGCACTTCAGCCCTCTTCGATTACGTGGTGCTGCAGTCGTACCCTACGTGAGGCAGTAATCATGGCGCATGTGTGCCATGTGGTCCCGGCCCTGCTGCCTCAGAACATGATAAGCCGGCCCGCTCGACACCGGAAACATGTGCGGGCGTAAGCTCGCGAGTCGCGACACCGATAAGATAGCGTACCTGATATCAGAAGATGGCTGAAGTGGAGGCCGGAGTGCGCGTTCGAGACTTTGTTCGTTTTTATGAAGATCGGCACTCCTACATGCGCGAGATCGATATGGCCTCACGGCGAAAGATTTATCCACCAGATCTGGCCTGATCTCAGAAGACGCGAACTGCTGTTACTGCGAAACCGGTCGAAGTTTCGACCTCGTGCGAGAACTAGATGCGAGTGGTTCGCAGTGGGTTGCTCCGGACGCCCGATCTGCGACCGTTAATCAAACCGTCCGGTGCATCCGCACCCGTCGCACGGCCAAACGCAATCGGGACTCAACAACTTTGCCTGCGGGCAACTCTGCACCCCGAATCCCGCCTTCCAGCCTTGTGGGTGTCAGTGGGTTTGATGATCAGCGGGCGGATCCATCGCTTATCGTACTTCAAGGACCACAGGGACCAGAAGTCCACTGTTTACTGAACATTATGAAACATGATAGATCCAGACAGCATGCTCAAGTAAGTCGCAGCAGAAGTCAGTCATGCATGGTTATGCTGAGAGCGATTGGAGGTTTCCAGTAGACCGTCGCCTCATTTCCTTTCTCGGTCCTCTGCCGCTCTCCCATACCATCCAACTTCCGCTCCATTCAATGTCATCCCATTCAATAAACTCCACACCGAGCGTCACTATCTTGCGCGATTAATTTCTATGCCTGCAGATTCGAAGACAAAGTGCATCTTCAGCGATATCATTCCACACAGTCAATGGCGACGTTAATATCTTGGAGGTGTCCGAAATTTGTCAGTCCATTGACAACCCCTTTGCTGACATGGCCCGTCGATAACAAACTCTTTGCGATGCGCGCGCAGGCACAGGGAGTGTGCACAATAGAAGGAGTGACCAATTCAACTTGATCGCATTGCGTGCTGGTACCTTGAAGCAGTGCTCTTCACGAAGCCAATAGTACCAAAAACACTAATTAGTTGACCTGCAAGACATGTATTCCCCTGTTTTCGCAAACAGCAAACTGAGCACTGCGGAAAACCAACGAAGTTCTCTATTACACTCTTTCAACCAAGTGTCATGAACAGAATGAACCCGACTAACGCTGCAGCGCAATCTACTATACCTTTTCCAACTATGCCACTCGAGCTCCGCGAGATCATCTACCGTCATGCGATACTCCCAGAGGACCTTACTTCTCAGTCTCAGCCCCTGAACTTCGGCCCCGTAGACACCCGGCGTGGAGGCGACCCTTTCTACCTACAGTGGCTCGAACAACTCTGTCGCGTGAACCAAGCCACGCGCGTCGATGTATCCCTGTATCTTCTACGGACGACCGAGTTCTATCTCATCTATCCGGAGCAAGTAGTGCGATTCACGATGTTCCTGGAAAGTCTAGGCGAGAACGACCAAGGCTTTGCCGCAATTCGTAAACTCGATTTCCAACTCTTTGGCCGCTACCAACCAATTGCTGGGACTAAGAACACTTACATCGAGCTCATGAAGCGATGCACAGGGCTAACGCAAGTCGCATTGAAGTTCGAAGTTGGGTACATGACTATTGACTCATGTAACTGGGCTGAGGATGTTGTTATCCCTCCTACAACGCTAGGGACCTTTGATCTATGGACATTCGATCAAACGCGCATCAGAGAGTTGGAAGATGTCATTACAATTTACCAGTTGGCAGATCTACTGGAGGTAGAAGGTTTGCAGACGTTGACGATCGAGGCTTGGCCTAGGATCAGGGTAAGTGATCGGCACTGTATGCAGAACGTTTTGGTGGACTGTGCGCCGTTGATTGAGCGGTTGGTGGTGTGGCTCAGGGAGGGGTTTGCCGCCAGAGGGAGGAAGGTCGATGTGAAATATGTGGAAGCGAGCAGTCCAGGATTGAGGTGGAGTCGGCGGATCTGAGGTACCTAGTAGTTGCTCAGGCTTCCACATGAAGTCAAGTCTGCGTAATGAAACAGTTGACTGAGTCAATTGTCCAAGTTGCATGAAAGGTTGTTGGCTCTAATGTGTACAAGGCCAGAATATGTGTGTCCATCGTCTACCGAAGTATGTAGCAACTTGTTGTATCGTGAAAGTACCCGGGCAGCATGGAATGGAAGATGACGTGCGTGGAAGGTGAAGTTGGGCTTGGTCTTGCGACAGGCCTATGACTAAGCGAGGGCTGTCGTGTTTGCCATCTAATCCCAGCCAGCCCTAACCAGCCTCATTCATCCTTCAACGACCGAGCGCATCCGCAGCACCATCGTCGCTCAACCATTTTTGACCATCACTGCCATTGCTGCATCTGCGCGCACCTCAGGGTTCCAATTTTGACATTGTCGGCGCGCTTTCACGCCACGCGCATCGACTTGGCCGCGACGCGTCGACGTAAACAACAGCGCGACTCCTCCACCACCCCGCCCACAAACCGATCTACCCAACCACCACCATGTTTCTTCCAGAGGACCTCCTATTCAAGCAGGGTGCGCTTGCGCACGTCTGGCTTGCCTCGAATCAGCAGAAGAAGCTCACCAAGGCCCAGGTGCTGCAGCACAAGATCCCAGAGAGTTGCGAGGTCATTATCCGACCCGAGGTGGCCGCTGGCGGTCCGCTTGCATTGCGGTTGAACGCGCAGTTGCTCCTCGGTGAGGTTCGCATCTACAACAAGAAGGTCAACTACCTCCAGGATGACTGTCAGGAAGCGCTGTGGAAGATCAGGATGGTAGGTTCCAAGTTTGACTGCGTGACATGACCACTCCTGACCCCTTTGCAGGCCTTCCGTCCCGGAAACATCGATGCGCCCGCCCAGACTCACGTCGCCAACCCCACAAACCTCATGCTACAGGATCAGATCACCGATCTCGATCTGCTGGCTCCCATGCCCGACCCTTCTTTCCTTCTCTCCCAACCTCTTAGCGGCAGCCTCAACCTCGGCAACACCACAGTCCCCGATTGGGACAACAGCCAGTTCCTTTCCGGCAGCATTGAGCAGGCGCGCGGAGAGCCCATGGAATTGCCGGATGACGACCTGAACCTGGACATTGGAGAGGATGATGACTTGGAGCCGACAGCCGCCTACGACGAGGGTACCAGCATTGAAGTTGGCCGTAACGCACCTTTGGAACGCCGTCGGTCCGAAGAGTTTACCGGGCTAGGCAAAGACATGATAGTGGATGACGATGATCTCGGCATCGACCTTGGCGAAGATCCTCCCACTGAACTCGCACGCGGCCATGAACTCAATTTGGACGATGACCTGGATATTACCATGGGCGGTATGGACATGGACACCGAACTTCCTGCAGGCTCTATCGCCGGCGACTTCCCTGTGCGACAACGTGAAGAGTCACCGCTCTCCGAGTTGGGAGAGGAGGAGGCCACACGTCTTGAACAGGAGGTTGCCGAACAGAACGTCACCGTGTTTGAGCCAGAGCCAGAGCAGGAAGAGGAAGAATCAATCCATCAAGCCCGCGCCAAGCGCAGGAGGGTCATTGCAGCTGATGCCGAAACTATGATCTCAAGTCACCAGTTGAGGGAGCAACAGAACAACCGCGAGAAGATCCTCAAGCCTGCATCGTTCCTGCCTCGCGACCCTCTTCTGATGGCTTTGATGAACATGCAAAAGTCCGGAGGGTTTGTCTCAAGCATACTGGGCGACGGGCGAAGCCAAGGATGGGCTCCAGAGCTTCGAGGTATCCTTTCCCTAGAAGTTGTCTCACGCCCAGCCCAGAAGCGCAAGCGTGGTGGTGCAATTGCCGACAACGACGCTACCGAAGACGAGGCCGCAGCCGAAGGAGAGAAGACGCCACAACTGCAGCTGGAATTTGAGCAGGATGAGCCGACTTTGGGAGGCGGTGACCTTGGCCTTGGTGGCGACAACGACCCAACGCTTGCGGGATCCGACGACATTGTTCAACTTCCTGACGACCCTGGCTTCCAGCAGGTTGGTGATGACGAAGAGGACATTTTCTCGCCCGTTCCAGACAACTTCGACGACACAACCGCGCCGCTAGTCCATCCCGACGAAGCTGGGCCCGTATCGCTAGGCACAAAGCACGCTGTCCATTTCTTGCGAGAACAGTTTGGACCCGAAGCTGAAGAGAGCGAGTCGGTACGACAAAAGACCAGCATCGTTTTTCAGGATGCCTTCCCAGAGGCCCGCACATCACGAACAGACGCGACGAAGATGTTCTTTGAAATGCTGGTACTGGCGACCAAGGATGCCATCAAAGTTGAGCAGCCAGCTAACGAGCTTGGTGGCCCTCTACGCATTCGCGCTAAGCGTGGCCTTTGGGGACAATGGGCAGAGACTGGTGCTAGTGGCGAGCTGGCATCCCAGGCTCAAGCAGCACCTACAGGAGATCCCGACGCGCCCGCTGAGGCCATGTTCCAGGGACCACCTGAGGTGTCTGTATCTGCCTAAAAGTTCAACATTCTGTGTTTCTCCGACCTTCTCTGGGGCTTGGTATCATCTGTCGGTGTTGGCTGGATACCCTTTTCATGTATGACTCTCTTCACGTTGGAGACGGACTTTGACTGGTGTTTTGGTGTTCTTGTGAGGTATGGTGTTTGTGGGAAGTTGGTCCCTTGTATGATTGTATTAGGATAGTTACATTAGCTTTGGAAGACGGAATGAATTCAGTACTACCTTTACGGATCTGGAGTATCCTTCTCCAAGTGATGCTTGAAAAGTCATGACTTCACGGTTGATCATTTGACTGAAGTTAATGACTTGGAGGAAATGTGCATTGTGTTGGTGTGTATTGCTCGGAAAAAGTTGGGCTGTCCAACTTGAGGCAGGTGCGCTGCGGCAGATTCTCCCGAGGTCGGCAACTGCGTCTTCGCGGCCTTGCCCTTTGCACCTGCTCGCCTCTCTGAACTCCGGCGACGACATCACCCTCCAAAATTCCCGTCGTGCTAGCCATCGCACACTGCGATGCCTACGAATGCAGCGGCGACAGGCCGCACGCGCAAAAGGGCTGCTGAGGCGTGTACGTTCTGCCGGCGGAGGAAGGTTCGTTACTGGACGCCTGCATGTCATCGTCGAGGAGCTGAATACTGAGGCTGGCAGATCAAATGCAGTGCTGAAAAGCCAATCTGCGCAAGTTGCAAAACGCATGATACAATTTGTCATTACGAGCCTATATCCATAGATGACGTACAACATGCTACCAGTCGTCCGCGCAAGACGCCGCGAGCAGAAAGAACATCCGAAAGAGCATCAGACAGGACATCAGAGTCAACACCATCGATCGCTGCTTCTGCGCCTGTTGGACAGACCCCTGCAACTACACCTCAAAGCGTGTCGCGCATTGTTGTCGCTCCCAATGGCTCCTCTAGTTACCATGGACGCACAAGCACTTTATTTGACGAAGGCACAAATGATCGATATGCTGCGGAAGTACGACCCCAGATGTCGGATGAATGGATAGAGAAAGGTCTTGTTGCTGAAGCTGCCCGTCAGAGACAACTAGAGACGGTCAACTTTCGACTTACGAAACTCGATTTCGACGGCGTCGAACCTGAACTTGGCATGCACTTGTTATCATTACACTGGAACCGGCAACACCATTCTTTCCTTACTACCTATCGCCCAGCCTTCATGCGTGACATGGCATGCGGCGGTCCGTACTTCTCCAAACTTCTCTTGAATGCCATCTACTTCGGCGCAAGTAAGTTCAGCCCACGGCACGAAGTTCGCCGTGTAGCAGACGATGTCCGCACTGCCGGTTGGCAATTTCGTGAAAGAGTGAGAGAACTCCTGGGAGGCGCTTTGGACAAGAGCGAAATCACAACAATTCAAGCGTTGCTAGTTATGACCAACTCGTTGTTTGCTCTTGGCGATGAGCGCAGTGCTGCCTGGCTGTACGCTGGGTTGGCGTTTCGCATGATCGTTGACCTTGGTCTTCACGTTGATAAGCCTGAATTTGCAGGGTATCGTAAGCTTTCTGATGAGGACCATGAGATCCGACGTCGCGTTTTCTGGGCAGCATTTGGTAGGTATGATATTCATATCGCTCATCATCACACTAACTAAAAGCGCAGTCGTCGACAAGATCCAAAGCCTCTATCAAGGTCGCCCAGTGAGCATGACAGAGACACTCGTACCCACCAAATTTCTCGACACCTACGAAGAACTTGAGCATTGGACGCCCTTTTCCTATTCCACGCAACCAGACGCCGTCTATCTAGGTTCGCCGGCTTATAGTATCTCCACGTTTCGACACCTTTGCCAGCTCTCGGTTATTCTGAGCGACATACTCAGCACCATCTATACCGAAAGAAGCTTCGACGTAAGCCCTACAGAGCTGTCGACCAAGTTGGAGAGCATCCATCAAAAGCTGTTAACATGGCGTGGGCTTCTGCCCGAACACCTCACGGTAGATGTAGCGGAAGTAGCGGCGACACCTCCTCCGCATGTCCTAAGCTTACAGTAAGTGATTATAACGCTGCACACGCCACGGATGTACTAAAACAACACTAGCGCCTTGTATCATGTTCTCACGATCCTCTTGCATCGACCTTTTGTCGCAGATGGGCATCTCTACAATACATCACGCGCCATCTCCGTGAACTCGTTTATGGCGTGCGCCACTGCGGCGGATGCTATCGTACAGCTTTTGAGAGCATACGACAAAATGTTCAGTGTGCGGAGAGCTCCCTATCTGATTTCTTATGCGACTTATGTTGCTGCCACTGTGCATGCCCGTATTGCGGCGAAGCGTGGCGCGGGCTCCCAAGCCCACAAGAGCCTAGAGACTTGCTTAGCCGTTTTCCGCGAGAACCAAGAGACGAATTGGGCTGTACGACGCGCCAATGCCATTATCCAGAGCCTGATGAAGAGATTGGGTGTTGTTGCGCCTGACCTGAACGACACACATATCGGCAGTGGTGGCGAGGATAATCACGAGAGCACACCAGATGTTTCGTTGAGCAGATCGATGGATCGCGAACCAAGCTTGCAAAGTTTCGACATCGATGGCATCATCCAGAGTTTTGTTCGAGAGCAGGACTCGTCGCATGCAGCGCAGCCGGGTTCAATGGACCCAACCTCCGACATTGCTGTACCTGGAGTGCCGCCGTCGGCGTACAATACCATGGAGACGGCAAACATGCCCTACGGAAACTCTGGTAACTGGGCGTATCAGGACCAACAACAACCCTCCAGTGAGCAACCATTTTCGGTGGATGATCTCCTTTACGGTTTCAACGGATCAGAGCTTGATCAATTCCCAGCCATGAATTGGGACATGTAAGAGATGGGTATGGCGACATGAGGCTCTTCCTGTCACCAAAAGTACCATCCAAAGTCATTGTCATTGTTATCGGATCATCACGAGACGAGCGCGCACAAGAAGATGCTCTTCCTGTCATTGCGTTGGATCCTGTGGGGCATCAAGTCCCGCGGGAAGAAAGCCGAGGTTTTACCGCGGCTAGGCTTTTCGCAGCCCATGTAAGATCCCACGGCATCTAACGCGCTAACGGGTAGAGTTTCATGCCTACCCGTCGAATACACTGCGGCCCGTACTCCTGGTCGTTTCTACCCGAACATTTTTTGGAATGAAGACATATATAGAGAACTGCACCGCCGGATATGATGACACATTTCAAGCTAGAAACGAAGCACCAACTTCATCAACTTCATCACCTTGAACCGCAGCATCATCCTCTATAGATGCTCCGCACACTTCTCAAACCATCTACTCTCCAAAAGGCACACGCCTCGACTGTCTCACACATCTCACCGATCCGCATACCTGAACTCCCAATGGCACACGAAAGCGCCCCGAAAAGAGTGCGACACAGCCTACCAGCCGTTTTGATGCGTGCTGGTACTTCAAAAGGTCTCTTCATCCATCGTCACGACTTGCCATCTTCCCAATCAGCGTGGGCCGGCCCATTACTTGCCGCCATGGGCTCTCAAGGCTCAGACGCTCGACAGATTGACGGCGTAGGAGGGGCGACTTCAACGACTTCCAAGGTTGCAGTTGTTTCGCCATCATCACGAATGGGCGTTGATATCGATTACACTTTTGTACAAGTAGCAGTGGGTCAGGAGGCGGTCGATTTCAGCGGGAACTGTGGAAACATGTGCGCTGGTGTTGGACCATTTGCGCTACAAGAGGGACTAGTGCGTGCAAGCCCCGGAGAGAAGACGGTAAGTCCTCCTGTTGTAATTGAGACGGATGGGATACTCATTCTTCTTCAGCTCGATGTACGGATCTTCAATACGAACACTTCGCGGCTCATCGTCGATACCGTTCAAGTAGACGAGGACGGATCGTTCGATGAAGACGGAGACTACGCGATACCAGGCGTCAAGGGAACCGGAAGCGAAGTAAAAGTGGCCTTTGTGGATCCTGCCGGGAGCATGACCGGAACTCTCTTTCCTACGGGGAGACGATGTGATACTATTCATGTGAAAGGACAAGACGGCAATCGCTTCTCGGTCAAGGCGACGTTGATAGACGCAGCGAATCCTTTTGTCCTAGTCGACGAACGAACATTACCGCCAAACCTAAGGAGAGGTAGCAAAGACACCGCCGTCTATCTCCAGCACATGGAGTCAATACGATGTACTGGCGCCGTTATGATGGGTCTCGCTTCTGATGTAGATGCTGCTGCAAAAGTCCGCGGGACACCGAAGCTGGCTATCGTTTCTTCTCCTCAACCAGATGATGGTTCTCAGGAAGGCACGCCGGACGTTCATGTCCAAGCGTTCAGTATGGGCAAACCCCACCCGAGCCTGCAACTCACAGGTGCGGCATGCTTGGCGTCGGCAGTGTGCATAGAAGGTACTGTAGCCCACGGACTTGCATCCGGCAGCAAGGTGCAGTCCTCCTGGCAGTCGTCTTCACCTGAGCGGACACCGAGTCCCTGCTCAGACTCTGATGGTAGCTCTTCGGATCTTCTACCGAGCCAGAGGAGAGTCTGTCTTTCGCATTCGAGCGGGTCGATCAAGGTTGATGTTCTGGCAACCAGCTCGGAATCGTTTGCTTTTGTCGATAGGTGCGTTGTCTCGCGGACTGCTCGGCGGTTATTCGAAGGGAAGGTGTATTATTACTCGAGTAGCGTTTAATCAAAGTAAATCCAAGTTGTACAAGATGAAGATGAGGAAACTGCGCAGGCTTCAGCCACAGGTGTAGAGTTTGAGAGAGGCTGGTGTATGACATCACACGCAGAGCCACGGAAAAGCGCGCCATCACTTGAGCGTGCAGCGGACATGTACCTGCCAAGGCGTCACTCGACGCTGCGAGAAGCCGACACATGGTAGGCAACACAACGCTAAGCTACAAATAGAGGTTACATTGAGTGTTTCAAAACGGAACACGTCGTCGGAAAGGTCTAGTGCTGTGAAGTCAAACAGTAGTTGGTGTGAAAGTGGTGACCAGACGCTCGATGGAGACCCCTGCTCGAGAGTAC